AGCAGCGTGAGCGATCGAAAGACGTTGCCGTTGGACCAGCACACGCACTTTGGCAGCAGCATCTCGAGTTTGGAGACCGTCGTCCCCTTGCCTGTCCCGGAGAGGCCTTGCAAGACGAGGACGCAGCCGGTGCTGGCCTCCGCGCCCAGCTTCGCGACGATCTCACCCGCGACCTGGTCGGCCGACTTGCCCGCCACGTTGACCTTGCACACAGGCTCCACCGGCGGGTTCGGATCGAGGACGCCGCGAGCGACCGCCTCGCGGATCCCCGCCGCGAGCTTCTCGGCGTCCTCATCGTCGCGAGCGATGATGCCGTCCATCTCGTTCTTGGCGAAGGCCGCGAAGGTGCTGTCGCAAGCAAAAGCCGCGATGATGGCGTTCGAGGTGGAGTCGTCTCCCCGCTTCAGCAGCGCCCGGGAGAGCGGCACCAGCGGCGGTGCCGAGGAGTCGAGCATCGACAACGCCTGGGCGAAGTAGCCGCGGACCGTTTGATCCAAGCCGACGCACAGCGAGGTGGCGTTCATCGCCTGCTTGTAGATAGTCAGCTTTAGTGCAAGCCCAAGAGACGACCCGCGCTTTCTTTTTGTCTGCTTTTCCGAACGGGCATTCGGGATCACTACCGCCGTAACGCAAGAGCACTGCGACGCGTGCGAGCCCCGCAGAGGCGCGGGCGAGAGGGCGGCCCGAGCCCGAAAGGGCCCGCCCTCGGCGTTGCTCTACATGGTAACGGATAAGAAGAGAAACACCCCCGGACTGGGACGCCGGCAGTCGAGTCGGGACACGCTGTGGCTCAGACGTCCCCCCCCTCGACGCAGTCGAGTGACTGACATGAATAGGGAGGAGAAAGTGTCCCCACATATCACCACAGACGCAGCACAGGGGCTCCAATCCTGTCCCAGCCTGGGGGGCCTCGCTAGATCTCCAGTGGGGAGTGCGAGGGCTGGATCGACTGCAGCGAGAGTGTGGGTTGTGGACCGTCGGGATAGCGTGTGGCGTAGATGTTCTCCTGGAAGTAGAGAGGCTGATGTCTCTCGCCCTGCAGGAAGGAGAAACTCGGTCGGTGGAGTGAAAACTCCTCCCTGCGGCGTGTGCGCAGAATGGGTTGCGCATGTGCGGCATCATGTTGAGGACTCGGGAGGGCAGCGACGGCGGCGTTGCCGAGCATGTACAGGGGCCTCAATCCTGTCCCCGATGGGGGTGCGCCTCTCGCCGCGCGCGTAGCAGTCGGCGCGCGGGTAGCCTCAGAGATGCGCTGAGCGAGAAGCGGGTATCAGCAGACCAAGCCCTGGGCTTGGATAGGGCGCGGCGTAGCCGCGGCGCAGTGGATAGCGTGAAGAGCCCACTCACTGTCGTGAGCAGACCGCCGCTACCACGTGCGAGCCCCGCAGAGGTGCGGGCGAGAGGGCGGCCCGAGCCCGAAAGGGCCCGCCCTCGGCGTTGCTCTACAATGGTAACGGATAAGAAGAGAAACACCCCCGGACTGGGACGCCGGCAGTCGAGTCGGGACACGCTGTGGTTCAGACGTCCCCCCCCTCGACGCAGTCGAGTCACTGATAAGGCTGTGTATAAATATGGAATATATTGCTCCAATACTTAGAGGAGCAATCAATCTCCAATATATTGTCAATACTTAGAGGAGGCTGGGCCTGGGCTGGTCAGCGAGGACTCAATATATCAATATATCCAGCGATGGGCGGTCGACCTCGGGCTTGTGGGCGCCCTAAAATCGCTGAAAATGGGCCCAAATCGCTTGAAAATCGCTCGGGTCGCATTAAAATCGCTTTGAACACGCGAATCTTTCGATTTCAGACACCATCTAGGCGATGTTTGGGACAAATGTCGACATTTATGCTTTTGGAGGTTGAAAATCAGCGATCAATACGTCAATATATTGTCAATACTTAGAGGTGAGGCTGACAATACTCAATATCAATACTTAGAGGGGTGAGAATCAATCTTTATACACAGCCTTAGTCACTGACATGAATAGGGAGGAGAAAAGTGTCCCCCACATATCACCACAGACGCAGCACAGGGGCTCCAATCCTGTCCCAGTCTGGGGGGCCTCGCTAGATCTCCAGTGGGGAGTGCGAGGGCTGGATCGACTGCAGTGTGGGTTGTGGACCGTCGGGATAGCGTGTGGCGTAGATGTTCTCCTGGAAGTAGAGAGGCTGATGTCTCTCGCCCTGCAGGAAGGAGAAACTCGGATGGTTGAGTGAAAACTCCTCCCTGGTTGCGCTATGTGCAGCACGGTGTTGAGGGCTCGGGAGGGCAACGACGGCGGCGTTGCCGAGCTCGTACAGGGGCCTCAATCCTGTCCCTGATGGGGTGCGCCTCTCGCCGCGCGCGTAGCAGTCGGCGCGCGGGTAGCCTCAGAGATGCGCTGAGCGAGAAGCGGGTATCAGCAGACCAAGCCCTGGGCTTGGATAGGGCGCGGCGTAGCCGCGGCGCAGTGGATAGCGTGAAGAGCCCACTCACTGTCGTGAGCAGACCGCCGCTACCACGTGCGAGCCCCGCAGAGGTGCGGGCGAGAGGGCGGCCCGAGCCCGAAAGGGCCCGCCCTCGGCGTTGCTCTACATGGTAACGGATAAGAAGAGAAACACCCCCGGACTGGGACGCCGGCAGTCGAGTCGGGACACGCTGTGGTTCAGACGCCACGAGCCCCTAAAAGAATTCGCCTCTTTTTCGCGGGCGGGGGGGGGGGGGCAGTGACCCAGTGACCCAGCGACCCGAGAGCTGTGTGTGCACATGTGCAATGCACATGCACATGCACATGCACATGCACATGCACATGCACATGCACATGCACATGCACATGCACATGCACATGTTAATAAAAATCTCTCTCTGCACATGCACATGAGAGAGAGATTTTTTAGCAATACCAAACAACTCTAACACTCACACGCATTTGGGGCCTGGAGCTCCACGCGCGCGCGAGACGTGCAGACAGGGTTGCCAGGTGAGAACGAATGGCGCGGTTCACGCCTCGCACAACAGAGAGAGAGATGCGCTCTGCATGGTGGGACCTGAGGGAGGGTGTAGAGGATGTAGAGTGTAGAGCGCTGTAGAGCTGTAGAGCTGGGGAGCGCTGTAGAGCTGTAGAGCTCTACATCCACCGCGTGACGAACTGTGTGCGTTGTAGAGCGATGTAGAGGCGCTCTACAACGTGAAATCTCTACAACAAACTCTACATCATGTCACACCACGCGGAACGCATCTCCATCGCTTCGGTGAAGAGGGTGAACCGTGCCATCCTCGATCGCCGTGCAAAGCTCGCTTCCGAGCTCTCACGCCGCGCGTAGGGCCCTTAGGGGCCTAGAGAACACAACCCCCTCTCTCTTTTCTCCCAGTAAGCTAAAAGTACACACACATACATCATAAGCGGCGAACGAGAGGCACGGTCGCTCTCCGACATGAGGCGCGTTGCACTTGCCAGTGCTGCCCTGGCCTTCTGTCTGCCCGCCCAATGGGTGGGAGGTGCCTTTGCTGCTGTGGCATGCCTCACGGCTGCGACTGGCCGGCGCCTCGGCGCGTCAGCTCGGCTCGGCGTAGCGATAGTGGCCAGCGCAACTCGCCTGGACTCAACGCTCAGCCAGGAGCTCCCGCACGCGCTGGCGCGAGTCATGGCGCATGCAACGCGCCTGAATGCTCGCCTCGCCTCGCGCAAATGCGACCGTCCTCGCAGCCGACAGTCCACCGCCTGCTAAAGAAGCACAGCGACGAATGCGGCACCGGCGACGGGCTGGTCATGACGCAGTTATAGGGTGTTGTGTGCCGTCAGAGTGACTCTCTGTGTGTCAGGGATAGTCAGGGCCGTCCACCAGAGCTCCAGTAAGCTCGGAGACACCCCATTAGTGCGACTAGACCTCTTTGAGTCACTGCCTTCCCGGCGGTTTGGCTGTAGAGCCTCTACAACAAACTCTACAGCAAAATCGCGCTCTACATCGCTCTACAACGGAGGCGCATCGTCACGCGGCGGATGTAGAGCTCTACAGCTCTACAGCGCTCCAGAGCGCTCTACATCTCTACAGCTCTACAGCGCTCTACACTCTACATCCTCTACACCCTCCCTCAGGGTGGGACATAAAAGAGAGCGAGTACTGGCGAGTA